AAACAATGCACTCCGAAGCGAAAAGTCTTCAGGGGACTAAGTGGGTCACAAAGGATTCTCGGCCATAAAGAACCTTGTGCAACCCCGGTCACCCTTGCAGGAAAGCTTTACTTATGTCCGCTGTAAAGGAAATAATTCTTAACCCTGAAGTTTAATAATATGTCTCCCAGTTTTTCCGTCAATGACGGATCTGTCATCAAACAGTCATTCCAACTGGGTACATTTTTGTTACTCCTGGCACTACAATTAAACACAATCCTAAAGAGGAGTGGTCTTAGAATCCTTCTTCCTCCGTGATGTGGCAAATATTTGGCCATAAATCTGGGCTTGCTCGGGAGGCACCTCCTCTATGAATTAAATTATTTAACTGCTCATTAATTATATCATCGTAAGCAGTCAACAGTTCTGGTGTCTTTCTCAGTTCGCGAGCTGAGCCTTTAATTGTCCATACGCCATCCTGTAATTAGTTGGTAGGTCGGATGGTTCAGCTTCCACGGGAGTCTCAACCCAGTATTGTCCAGATTCAATTTAAAAAATCCTTCTGGTATTGTTCTTGAGTAAAGGAATCATCTGGACTTTTTTCATTTACATTGGGACCCCCAGCGGCCAATTCCATAATAAAAACAGGTTCAATTTCACCCTCTATTGAAGAAAATTTCCACTGGGTTTTTTTTTTCCCTGAGAAAGACCCACCGAAACGGGTATTTATGGTTTCCCTTTCCAGTCATTCTTTTATCATACGGGGAAGCCTGCAAATACATCACGTGACCTCCTCCCGGGGTCCTTAAAGGGGGTGACTCCTTTTTCTTTGTCATCCCCTTTTCCAAAGGGGGCAAAATGGGTCCACTACCTTTTCCAAAAATCTGGGTCCCCCCACGGGGAATATTTTACACCAAAGTCCCCTTTTTAACCTTACTTAAAAACCCCTTCGTAAACTTTAACCAAGCCCTTTGTGATATTTTCTCTGGAGCCTACAACCCCAATTAGGGCCCTTTAAAAAATTTTTCTCTAAAATTGTCCAGCCTGACGGGGTTAAAATCCACGGCCCGTATGACGGGGCCCTTCCCTTAAAATTCGAGAGAAAGCCAGAAAAAACTTGAGTATACCCAAGATACCCTTCTTTTTCCCTTCATCCCTTTAAAGGGGAAATTCCTTTTTTATAAAAAGTACGTTGTGACCCCCATCCAAAATTCGTTACATTTTTTGGAAATTTACTTTTTTTAATCATTAATCCCCCACATCCAACACAGGAAAAGCTACCTCATTGTCCCTCATCCCCCGGGGCCGTGTGGACGGGCTGCACAGTAGCTCCCTTTATTATCGGGTTTTCTGCAATTTTTCCTTTTTTGAGCAATCAAAATGGGGGAAACAAAACAGGGAAAAGCAGGGTAAAATAATGTCTTGGGGAGCGGGTACGTGGTACCCTGAGTAGTTCTACAATGCAGGTCCCTTCTGCCAAGTATCATCCGCGATGTGTAGGGCATACCAAATGACGATTTGTGTGGTGTACAGTGAATGGAGGTCCAAAATCTTCATCAAGTTCAAGAGTGCTGGGTTTTACTCCAGCATAGTCGATGCGTTTCCCAAAAAAAGAGGATGCCGTTAATTCTGCAGTGGGGGTCGCCCACATGACGTATCAAGCATGTAAAGGGGTAAAGGTGGGAAAAGTCCCCTTTGAGGGGGGCCTTTGGGAAAAATGATGTTTTGGAGGGAAATTTCCCTAGGTATGGCAAGATCCCTTCAGCAGAGTTGGGAGTGTTGAAGGAAAGGACCTTTTATGGGGGTGCCCCGAGGGATCTTTCAAACCTTTAAAATGAAACTAAGACAACCTGTACCATCAAAACGTTTTTGAGGGAAAGTTCAGAACACAGGTTTTTAAAAAAATTTTTTTTATGCATGAAAAACGTCAGACATTTAGGCTGTGCGGGGCCCTTTTGACCATATGGGGGGCCCAAAGGGGGCATCAAAGGCAGGGACGGAGGAACAGCGCCACCAACTGGGAACGACAGCTGGGCCCCTTTGGGCACCTGACAGGTTAACTGCAAGCCAGGCGACTGGAAGTTGGAGTGAAGAAAACAGAGTGGAGTGGGAGTTGGGACGTGCACCCGTTACCGGGGGAACTGTGTCTGAGCGACCATCACGATGCGATTGTTGACAAAAGTGACTTACAACGGGATGGCTTTTGGACGGGGTCTTAAAAGCTTCTGGGGGAGGGGAAGACAGTCAAAAGGGGAAGGACGGGGGGGAATTGGGAGGGGTTGCACTCCAGGATTGTGAGGCACTTGTCAACGAGAGTAAGCACACACGGTGGTGGTTGAGGTGCACCAGAGGACATGGATGCTAGCAACGTTGGGGGTGGCACCGAAAAGCGAGCCTGGACGTCTGAATGGAAGTGTTTTAAACGCCGGGGCAGAGACTGGAAAAAAACCTTGGGAAAAACTCTAAAACTCCCGGAATGGGGGCCCGTTCTGGGGTGCTGCAAGGGTCGAAGAAAAAGGGGGGATGGGAGGTCGGAAGACCAAGGACAAACTGGCATAATCACACCAGTCTTCGAAAACCCTTTCAAAGCGGCGGGGAAGCCGCCTTTTTTGTAATAATTCAAGATGGTCAGTGGTCAGTCGCAGGGGAGGTCCAGACCCTACTGCTTTGGGTTACGGGGAAGGTTACAAAGCAGGTTTGCTTCTGCAGTGATTTAAAAATTGGGGTTGGAGATTTTGAAGGAGGGGGTCTTGCTTCCCAGGGGGAATTAGGAGGCTGAAGGCCACCTCAAGGGCGGGGGGAGTTGAGGGGCGGGATTTGGGGAATGGGGTTTTTCACAGGGGTGCATCTGCTCTCGCGTGAGGAGCTGAGGTGGGGGAGGTACAACGGCTACCAGCAGTGAAGTGCAGTCCACACCGCTAAAAGTGGCGAGTGGTTCCCATAATGGGGGACATCAGAGTAAGGAAATTTTAAGGTGAAATCTAAAGGGAGGAAATCCTTCTCGTCCTTCAGGATAATGACTTCATGGCCATGAAGTAAGGATACTACTGCCCCTGCTAATAAGGTAACGCATTCTTGTGGTTGGGACCTCGGAAGATATATTGACCGTGCTTTTTGTAATAGAAAAAAATGAGAGATAGAGTTGTTTCCCGGAGTTGGTGTTGGGGAATAAGTCAACAGGCTAGTAATATCATGTCAGGTAATGGGAAAAGCCCTTATGTGTCCATTGCTGGTGGGGAAAAGATATTGGAAGGGTAGGAGAGAAGACTGTTAGAAAGTACAGGGCAGCTATAGTTTCATTAAGCTAAGGGGGGGGGTCCCAATCAATTACATCTTCCCAGAAAGGATGGAAATGAATGGTTGTCTAGGGCAAAAGGTGTAAACTCTGGGTAGACAATACTGCAAGAATTGCAATCCCAATTTATTGACAACGGAAAACTTTAGGCAAACTGATTTATGCAAGGGGTGGGTACATCTCTCTGGGGTGGGGGGGAGCACTTACAAACTCATTGAAAGGGCCTTGGGGGAAAAACCTAGATTTTTAAAATGAGGAAGAAGAGGTATGGGTGTGTTAGGGAAAAAAGCGGTTGCAACACTAGGTTTTGGGAAAAAGTAAATTAAAAAGGGATTCAGCATGAAGTTATAAATAAAAACAATAATCAGGCAGCAAACAAAGGGGACGCAGAGGGCACAAGGGACTACTCCTTAAGGGTTTTCTATCCAATAGCAGGGGTAAGAAATAAGATAGATAGCTAAGATTAATTGCAAGTGCAGGAAAAAATAGATATTATTGCTAAACAAACCTGGCCAATCTGAAAAAAAAGAGATGCCCTTGAATTCACATACAAGGCAAAATTATTTCCCCACACTGACAGGGTCAAAAGGGTGGTGGAAAGCAATAATGTCAGAGACAATTTAAATTTGGGTTTTTTTAAAAAGATATAAAATTAACATCCCCCACCGTTTGGTTACAGCTTCTCGAGGGCCGAGAAAAACTAATTTGGGTGTGATTTAAAAGGGCCCCCCAAATCTTGATAAGAGTGAGTAAACTTCTATGGACGAAACTCTAAGGCATCTACATACGAAAAAGTTTTGCAATGGGAGATTTTACATAGACAGATTGACTGGGAGTAAAATTTACAGGGAAATTTAGAGTCAGGTGACTTTCTGATCATCCAGGATTGTTTTTTTTAAAAAAGTTTCTGACAAGCCAACTAGGGAAATAACCTCCTTTACTTGGTTCTTTCCGTAGGGGAAAAATAATTAAAATCTTTAGAATGATGAGCTTGGGGGAAAATACACAAATCCCAGTTTTAAATATCCCGGAATTCCCCCAATAATGGCACAGTCTCGTCCCTACTTCTGCTTGGGTGATTTCATAGGGCAAAAATTAA